ATTTCCAGCAAAAGTTTCAAACTTAGGAGTCTGCGGTATGTTCCATTAAAAAATACGTTAAATTGTTTATAAATTTCTATTAAAAAACAAATATTGATTCTTCCGACCATAGGTACCTTTCTATAGTCCAGGTCACATATAATATAAATTATGCTATATGTATTTATTTTTGTTTGTGGTCTGTTATTAAATCTGCAAAGTATAATTTCTATTTTATATTTTTTTCCTATGTGCCTGAATATCAATATCAATTTTTGACACCTTCCACAGTCTATGGAAAAAGCTTGAGAAATTCTGGAAAACCTGGAAAAGTCAGGGAATTTTATACGAATTCAATAGTATGAACCCTGTTATAGTTCATTTTTGCCATCTGTCATTTTTGACATTGACAACTGTAATTTTTCACATATGACTCCACCGTGAAGTGCTCATAAAACATTTTCTTCACTTTCACTGTAAAAACTGTTGTTTATCCATTTACATCTTTTATAATCTTGGTTCGCCAAAAAAATTATCCCACTTTGATAGGTTGTAACTTTTGAATGGATGGACGTATCTTGTTATTTTTTTTGTTAGAAAGGGCATTTCTTTAGCAGTAAGTGTGCACGACTGCATTTATTTGTCCTGATTTAAAATAATTTTACAGGGTGATTTGTAAAGCTATGATTTTAACATCAAATTTATTAATGTTCAGGAGGTAAATGGGTCACCCTGTATAATATATTTTAAGGTCATCATAGAGCCTTACGTCTTAGCGCTGCGTACTTTTTTGGATTTTGGTCTTATTTTAAAAGATATGATTTTTAACCATGTAAAGTACACATGAAAGTCAAAAAGTTTGATTTTAATTTTTAAAGCAATAACAATAATAATGAATAACGAATTTTAAATAAAAATAATCAATAGTGGGTAGGGCCCCCTCTACTCCTTATCACCTCCTGACATCTTTGAGGCATACTCCTGATGACATTATTGATGAGGTCACCCGAAATGGCTTCCCATTCCTGCTAAAGAGCAATTCCCAGCTCTTCAATTCCATGTGGTTCAATTTGGCGATCTAACATCCTTCTTTGAAGCGCATCCCACACGTTTTCAATGGGGTTAAGGTCCGGCGAAAGCGCCGGCCATTGCATTCTGGTGATATTTTCTCGTTGGAAAAATTCATTTACCACGTTGTCTCGATGCGGTCTTGCGTTATCGTCCATATACAGTGCTTGCAAATCCAAGTCCGACCACACTGGAAAGGACGGCTGTTCAATACCCGCGTAAAAAGAACAAGGATAGAACGCCAAATAGAATTTGATTGGCCAGCCGGCAGGCTACGACAACGCATACCCATCGCGCACCTCGCAGAGTGCTTGACACGAGGATATCAGAACGAGAACTGCAGTGGTGCCAGCAAGAGGTAGTAATTTTAGTAAAAAAGATTATTTAATTAAAAAATGTAGGTACACGTTGGAACAAAAAGTTCAGATTTTAATCTGGCATTTTGCTGGTAATTCTGAACGAGAAATTCAAAGATTATTTGCGGGAATGTTCGAGGCCAGACCAAACAGAGAAACAATTCTACGAACCGTTAATAATTGCTTGTTCGAACATTTAATTTAATTTTTCAGTTTATTTATTTTTAGAGTTTTATTAGACCAGGGTCGATAATTTTTGAAACCAAAAAAAATAACAGTAGGATGAAACCCATTGGAAAAGGAGAAGAATATAATAAAAATAAAAGGAAAAATAAATTACGGGCGATCTGACTTTGGGAAGTGGGAGGGGGGGTTTTTAAGGGTAAAAAATGGTTTATCTCGATTTCCGGCAAAACTACAAGTCCTATGGAAAAAAGTTAAATGGCAAAGTTGTAGGTAATAAAAGGATCTACAACTTTTGTAATTACAATTTTTTTACATAAACTCAAAATTTATGGGAAAAATTCAAAAAACCGAGTTTTTGGTTTTTTATTTTTATCTTTTTCAAAAAAAAATTTTTTTCCACGAAATTTGGTGAAAACTTACCTTTTTATGTCCCAAATACACTGTAATTTATTTGATTTGAAATATTTATTATTTCGCCTTATTTTGACTTAATATCAAAAAAGCACCCTAATTTTCAATCGAAAATTCTCGCGTCAAAATATCAGCTTTTTTCAAAAAGTCGGTGTGCTTTTTGTTTGTTGAAATCTCTACTTTCTGATGGTGTAAAAAAATATACATTACTATGGTAAATGTTCTCAGAAAATGCAAAAAATATTATAATGAATAACGAAAAAAACTCGAATTCGAAAATTTATTTTAATCATTATGTACAATTTCATCAAAAAAATGTGATTGTTGCAATGTTTTTTAGTTAAAAAGTTTATTTATTAAATTCTAATAACATTTATGTCAGAAAATCTCATAAAATATAAAAATACATGTAAATCATACTATTGAATTTAGATACTTCATTCTGATTACGTTATTCATTATAATATTTTTTGTATTTTCTGAGAACATTTACCATAGTAATGTATATTTTTTTTACACCATCAGAAAGTAGAGAGTTCATCGAACAAAAAGCACACCGACTTTTTGAAAAAAGCTGATATTTTGACGCGAGAATTTTTGATTGAAAATTAGGGTGCTTTTTTGATATTAAGTCAAAATAAGGCGAAATAATAAATATTTCAAATCAAATAAATTACAGTGTATTTGGGACATAAAAAGGTAAGTTTTCACCAAATTTCGTGGAAAAAATTTTTCTTTTGAAAAAGATAAAAATAAAAAACCAAAAACTTGGTTTTTTGATTTTTTCACATAAATTTTGAGGTTATGTGAAAAAATTGTAAATACAAAAGTTGTAGATCTTTTTATTACCTACAACTTTAACATTTAACTTTTTTCCATAGGACTTGTAGTTTTGCCGGAAATCGAGATAAACCATTTTTTTACGCTTAAACCCCCCCCCTCCCACTTCCCGAACTCAGATCGCCCGTAATTTATTTTTCCTTTAATTTTTATTATATTCCCCTCCTTTTCCAATGGGTTTCATCCTACTGTTATTTTTTTTCTCTTTTTACCATTTTTAAAGGCTTTTTATTTTTAGTTATTTTTATTTGAGAAATCTTTTTTATTAAGAATACTATTTTTGTTGTTGCCCTAGTTCTCAAGGAAAAAAATCAAAAAATTTTATTTTTAGGATTCGGGTATAAAATATTTAAAAAGAAAATTAAAATGTGCATCTCCACTCTAACGCAGTTTGCTTAACACTAAATCATTTAGTCTAAAATTTAGACTCTAAATGCAGCCAGAGTGGCAGCCAGAGTTGACCTCGCTTACAATTCGCACGCATCCGGGGCTCTGGCCAATCAAATTCTATTTGGCGTTCTATCCTTGTTCTTTTCACGCGGGTATTGAACAGCCGTCCTTTCCAGTGCGGTCGGACTTGCATTTGCAAGCACTGTATACAAACTGTTCACCCATTTGATGGGACAGAGGGAGAACTATTGGTTCCAGAATTATTTCCAAGTATCGTAAAGCATTAACTGTCTTATGGACGAAAAGTACAAGTTCAGTACGACGGTCTATTGATATCGACCACCGAAAGGTGTAACGCCAACCGTACAATCTTCTTCGTAACGTTCATTTACTCTTCGCCACACACGCAGGCGGTTGGTATCGGGATCCTCAGAAAACCGTGATCCATCTGAAAAGACATTGGGCCCAGTCATTTGCAGCCCAGTTTTGATGATTCCAAGCAAATTCCAGACGTCGCCGTCTGGAGTGAAGTCCACCTGCATGCAATCTTTTTCTTATTGTGGATGTGCAGGTGCAATGCTCGTTTCAGTTGGGTAGCATTAGTTTTTCTGTTCTGCAAAGCGGTTCTCCTGCTGGAGTAGTTACTCTTTGACGCCCTCCTCTGTGTTTATATTGCGAAGAGTTATTGTTTTCGTATCGTTTCCAAACGCGATTAACCATACTGTATGCAATATTAAAGCGTCGGCTACTTCCCTTTGAGAGACACCAGCTAAAACCATTCCGATGATTCTTTCAAGAATTGCACCTTGTAGACGCGGCATTGTTACAAACAATTAAATTGACACATGTCAAAACAATATTACTTCCAAAGATATCTCGATTTTTTACGCACATAGACATGAAGTGAAAGAAAAATTAATATATTATCTTATAGCCTTGCTATTGAGTTATGACCAAAATCCAAAAAAGCACGCAGCGCTAAGACGTAAGGCTCTATGATGACCTTAAAATAAATTATACAGGGTGACCCATTTACCTCCTGCACATTAATAAATTTAATGTAAAAATCATAGCTTTACAAATCACCCTATAAAAAAATTTTAAATCAGGACAAATAAATGCAGTCGTGCACACTTTCTGCTAAAGAAATGCCCTTTCTAACAACAAAATTAAGAAGATACGTCCATCCATTCAAAAGTTACAACCTATCAAAGTGGGATAATTTTTTTGGCGAACCTCTTCAAAAAACGATCAGTGTATTTCGATTTATAACACATAAAAATTTGACATTTGAAGGTAACACAACACAGATTCCCCTATGATGGCGCTCTATACAAAAATTACATTTAAATCATTTTTAGATCATAATAATAAGTATTTGTCGTAGAGAAAGTATGCAACTCGCTTATAAACTTTTATAGACACTTAATAATATATAAATAATAATAATATAAATTATATTCTTGTCTAAAATGGCGTTTATCAAACTTGATACACAATATGCTATTAAAATGTCAAAAATATTGTCAAATCACATTTTAAAATGTTTAATGTATTTCTCTCAATCCGTTTGAGAAAAGTTCCAAATGATGATCAACATTTTGAGCATTATTAAAAATGAGTTATTTTACAAATAATTTTACTAAGGCCAGAAAAAGTTTTTGGCGCTTGGTGCCTTTTCGATAAGCGTTATCAATTTATTTATGTATACTTACCGTTGTTACACACCCGTTTAGGGAGATTACCTCTAAAACTCTGTTCGAATTCCAGGTGGAGAAGAGCGAACAAAAAGAAGTGGAACGCGGCAACGGGCTGCACGATGTCGCTAGCATACTCGCGCGACGCGTCGCCGTCGAACTGAGCGACACGGACTCGGGCAGCGATTCCGACAGCGACAACGAGGGCTGGGGCGAGAACGAGACGTCAGCGTGACACCAGCGCAAGGCTAGCGCGTCTAGCCAGCCGGTCTACTAGCGAGAACATAGCGCCGAAAAATCGAACATGCTCGACGAGTAAGTCCATTATAACACCCACACTAAAATTCCTTTCGACGTTTTAATATAATATAAAATACGGATTTTTTTTTATCGAAAATTGAAGCGTTTTATATTGTGGTACATGGTACATGCTCCACTTGCACATGCATATGTACAAAGCAGCTCATACTATAATAATACAAAAAGTCGAGATGGTTTAAATCGCAACACTTCGGCGGCCAATTTGCTCTCGCGATTTGATTTTTCGCTGCGTGAGGCTAGGCCACAACGAATTTATTTACGATGCCGATAGAGGGCGCTTTTAGCGCTTCCATTATGTAATGTACAAAAATGGTTTTTATGTTAAACTTGCGGGTCGGCTGTTAAAAGACAGGTTCACTTCGATGCGATTTAGTTGTGCGCTTTTAAATTTTTATTCGGTAATAATCACCGCTGTTTTTTTTTATTTTTAAATTTTGTTTTATTTATTATTTTATTAATTTATCGAGTGAAATTTTAAGAGTCTAAACTAAATTGAATTAATACGTAATGAATATTGAATGTTTGTTTAAAAAACTGATTTTTTGAGATTGTTTGTTTTGTGAATAAATTTCTAATTTTGAATTTTTATTACTGGAAAACAACATAGAAATTATTTTTTTTTATTTGTCTGTCTAAATATCAGGGTAAAATAACAAATTCCTTATTTTTGGCTAGATACTGTAAATTATTTAAAAAAATTACCTAACGGCCTTTTCATAAATAACTTAACACCTAATAAAGGTCAAGTCATGCAAATTTCTAATTTTTTACGTTTTGAAGCCACCATAAAATCATAAAAATCATGATTTTGGTCATTTGGCATCTGTCATTTTTTATATTTGACATCATATGGAAAAAATGATATCCGTTATAGCTTATTTTTGCCATTCGTCAATTTGACATCTGACATCTGTTATTTTTGACATTTGACATTCTTGGCATCTGTCACTTCAGATGGCATAAATTACACCTGTCATAGCTCATTTTTGATATTTTTTATATCCTTCACTTCAGATGACAAAAATGACATCTGTTATGGTTATGGTTATTCTCATTTTTGTCATCTGTCATTTTTGATATTTGACAACTGTCATTTTTCACATACGTATGACACCTGTAATGTTTGCCATCGGATCTCTGTTAGAGCTCATTTTTGTCATCTATCATTTTAACATTTGACATCCGTCACCTAAGATGCCAAAAGTGTCATATGTCATAGCTCATTTTTGTCATCGGTCATTTTTTGACATTTGGCATCTTTGATTTTTGACATTTTGAACACTGTCATTTTAAACATTTGACATTTACCATTTTTGACATCTGTCATTTTTATCATTTGTCATTTGTTATAGCTCATTTTTGTCATCTTACATCTGTCATTTTTGACATTGTCACTTCAGATGACAAAAATGACATCTGCACGCGTAACGGATAGGACAGTTGCCGTGTTTTTATTTACAAAATAATATTGTTCTATTATATTACCAATGTCAAATTTTTATAAATAGTTCTAAACTAAAGTTGTTTAACAAGGTTTTTATTTGGCAAAATTAGGTATCGTGGTTGACTGTTTAATTCCTTAAAAACTAGTAATTTAAAGCGTAACGGACGGGACTTTGTAATAGTCCCGACCGTTACGCTTTACATTATTATTTTTTAAGGAATTAAACAGTCAATCACGATACCTAATTTTGCCAAATAAAAACCTTGTTAAACAGCTTTTGTTTAGAACTATTTATAAAAATTTGACATTGGTAATATAATAGAACAATATTATTTTTTAAATAAAAACACGGCAACTGTCCTATCCGTTAAGCGTGGAATGGCCCATCTGTAATGTTTGCCATCTGTTATAGCTCATTTTTGTCATCCGTCATTTTTGACATCCAACATCTGATTATGACTTGACCCCTTTTATTTTAAATAATTAGTATACAAAAGATAATTATTGGTTTTGTATATTGTTTTATAAAGTAATATCAATCAAATAAAGAAAAAAAATATTTAAATAATTTATGGAACGTCCGATATACAACATGTACAAAATGATACCACATATTCCTGACACCAAAATATTACGATAAAACTTAATTTACCTCTATACAAAAAAATAACCAAGATACAGGGTGTTAAAGTTAAGTTCTTTTTTGATTTTATTAAATAACTTTGAAAAAAAACAAAAGTTATTCCACAAAATTTGATATTCAGGGCGGGAAAATTAAATTTCTTTAAAAAATTAATATAGGTTGTAGAGGGCGCTGTCTGTGACACTTTGCACACGTTTAAATGGTTACATCTTTTTTGCGCCTTAGTGTATAATTCACTTCTTAATAAAAATTTTACTTTTTCATTACTTTGTAAACGTCGCTCCAAGTAACCGTTTTATTTAATAAAATCGACTTGGTATACCTTGTATAAATTTTCCGTATTTTACCAACACCAGTAAATATAAACAACAGACTATAATCAAAAAAGTATAGATTAGAATTGTAATACCCACATATTTGCTTTGTTTATTTTTTTTAAAGAAAAACCATTAAAAAGTATTAAGAACATTATTTTTACCTATATTCTAATTATAAGCCAAGTAACTGCATTTATAAAAAATGTTCTTCATATCTTTTCAATTGTTGTCGATTAAGGTTTGTTGAATCAACAATATTTTGTGGATCCAACAAATTGTATCACTATGTGTATAATAAATTAAAATTAGGTATGTTGAGTCATAATAAAAATGTAATGCCAAAATTCCAGTATTATAGTGATCTATCTATACGTTAAACCAAAATTTTTATTTTTGTTTTCAAATAGAATTAATGATATAAAAAACGTATGTATGTTGCTTTATATATTTTTGTTTAATATGATTGTATATAGTTTATATTTTGTAAAGTACGTAAGCTTTTAATTTTAAATTATGTATAAGGTGTATAGTAACATATTTAACTTGTATTCTGATACTCTTTTTAATATTTTAACTAATATCCATTCAGGAACCTTTGTAATATAAACAATTAATGGGTAATAAATTTCAATACCGAAATATGACTATTTTTTTATTTCCATTACCTTAAAAAACTGAACTAATGATATAACACACTTTTTTAGAGTGTAACACACCCATGAACACCTACGAACACCCACGAAAATTCATGAACACACACGAACGTGAGTGTTTGTGTGTGTTAGTGGTTGTGTTCGTAATTGTTCGTGGGTGTTCGTGAGTGGTCGTGTATGTTTGTGAATGATCGTGTGTGTTTGTGAGTATTCGCGTGTGGTTCGTAAGTGTTCGTGAGTGTGTGTCTGTGAATGTTCGTGGGTGTTTGTGTGTGTTCGTGTTCGTGAGTATTCGCGTGTGGTTCGTGAGTGTGTGTCTGTGAATGTTCGTGGGTGTTTGTGTGTGTTCGTGTGTGTTCGTAAGTGTTCGTGTGTGATCGTAAGTGTTCGTGTGTGTGTGTTCGTATGTGTTCGTGTGTTTGTTTGTGTTTGTTAGTGTTCGTGAATGTTCGTGAGTTTTCGGTGTGTTCGTAAGTGTACGTCTGTATTCGTGTGTGTCCGAGTGTGTTCGTAAGTGTTCATGTGTGTTCGTAAGGGTTCGTGTGTGTTAGTAAGTGTTCGTGTGTGTTCGTAAGTGTTCGTGTGTGTTAGTGAGTGTTTGTGTGTGCGTGTCTGATCGTGTGTGTTCGAACACATACGAACACACCCATAAACACTGACAAACACTCCCATAAACACTCACGAACACATACGATCCCTCACGAACACATACGAACACACGCATAAACTCTCACGAACACTCCGACGAACACTCACGGACACTCGTGAGTATTTGTGGGTGTGTTCGTATATAAAGTTTATATTATAAACACTAATAAAGTAATATCATTAAAAAAAATTGGAGGAGGAGAAGAATGGAAAGTTTCAACGATAACTCTAGTACCAAAAGTGTGTAACACAAAAAAGCCGTTTTTTTTTAAATAAAACCCAACCTATTGGGCTTTTTTGGGTTTTATAAGTTTTATTGGGGTTTTTAATTCTAGATGTTGGTATAAAACAACATTTAAAAAGAAATACTGTCGATAAGAAAAATTCAAATATATTCACTACCTTTTCCTTCACAACTTATTTTCACAGTGTAATGTTTTATCTTTATACAAAATAAAAAATATACAAAAATGTCAAGGAGTTAAAATTTAAGAAAAAAATCCACTTTTAAAAAACCCTGAGGGCTTTTTAAGTGGGTTCTACCCAAAAAGCCCACTGGGCAGCCAACCCTGGCCCAGTTTACGAAAAAGTCATGGAAACATAATAACGGAAAACAATCAGGATTTCGGGAGCAGATATTTGCATTAATTTTTAGCCCCGACCGAAAAACAAAAGGTGGCATTTTTCGTACATACTTTTTTATTGCTTTTTTAATATTTCTATATTATTTTGTTTTTTGCGGTGTTGCCAAATTTCTAAAATCCCAGAATTTAAGAATTTTACAAAATCTGAATTTGTCATTTTGATAATTATGAAAAATTTTAACATTTTTATAACTTTGGATAGGTATTTTAAAAATGAGAAAAAAAATGTAAATTGAAAATAAATCAAAATTTTTTGGAAATAATAAAAAATCTGAAATGTTTTGGATTTTCGCCTGACGTTTAATTCCCAACGAAATATAACATCAATAAAAAGCTTGAAAATTGGTTTTAATATACCTTCATATGTTTTTATAGAAATTTGCTATTTTCTCTTTTAATAATTATTATCAACTAATAATAATCAAGATGAAAAAGGCTCAAAGGTGAATACATTAAGTTTTTACTTTTTGTACCTTATATCATAAACTGAACTTTAAGTATTGCAATTTAGTTAATTTTACGTTATAACTATTTTTACCGTATACTTACTTATCTTTTCTTCTCTAAAAAATTCTCACATATTAAACTTAGGATGTTGTTTTTTGATAAACAGTGTATTTCTCGCACGGTCTAGTCACTTAACTTTTTTCATATCATGCTTCATTTAGAAATTAAATTAATTAATATTTATTTTATGAAAATTTAAGTTGGTGCACCCTGTATACTGAAAATCCATCCGGTGTTTAAAGTTTAAAGAACAGAACATTTGCGTTATTTTTATTTTCTAATTTATATCTCAAGGTCGTTTTGACCGAGGGTTTAATTTACGTTATGAAATATGTAAATTGTTCACATAATTTCATTCCACACGGCAATTTGCAAAGAAGTTTGACTACCCTGTGAAATTATCCGTATTAAGTTGAGTCACACCGGAAACCATCTGCAAAATTATGTTTGCAGTGTTGCAAATTTTAATTTTACCATACCTGCAGTTTTTATGATTTCATGGAATCCATTTCAGGATAGCTGCAAATTGTGGCTCTACAACTAATTACTTATTACCTTATTTATTTAATTACATATTATAGGGTAAAATAATAAATTAATTTTACATATAATTTATTGGAATTTTATTACAAAATACAAAAAGTGTTGCCAACATTGTTATAAGAATATGTACAATCTAAAGTTAGTTATAAAATTTAATTATAGGGTATAAATAATATTAAATAAATAAATTATTGATCATAATATTAATTGTTGAGTATTTTTGTTATTATAAATATTTTCCTAAAAATTAATTAAACTACATAATATTTTAAATATAATGCTTATTATTTTGTTAAGTACTTAAATCTAGTCATTAAAAACTATTAAAGGAATATTTATACATTTAATTTGTTATAATAGACTATAGTGACTCATTTATCTATACAGTAAAAAAAATAATTTTATATAATTACTAAACTTGACTTTTTAAGTAATTATTGCTAATTTTGATTTTAGTTATTTATCACTTTTCATAATAATTTTAAGGTCTATCTAAATAAATAACCTGGAGGTGGTAATGCATAACCTGCTAATAATGCGGAAGCCTTTTTTATGATAAGGTAGGTATAAGATTTAACAAATTTAAATATAATTTATTACATTTTGGGGTTTCATATTCTCCATCTTTAGTTTCTATCTAAATAAATAGCATTCAATTATGGATAGAAATTTTGTAGGGCATCACCGTATATAGAATTATAGGAATCCCTTAAGACAAATATATCTTCAGGTTTGCCGTTAAAGGAGTACTGCCCGGGCAGTTTGTGTATGTTCGAATCGGGCAATGGTTTCCTGGTCGGTTTTGGTTTAGGGGGCTCTTCCGGGAAGGTCTCCATCGCACCGGACCATTGGTAGATGTTTCCGGGTTTGCCGTTGCTGATGAAGCTGATGGGCACGTTAACGAACGGGTCGGCTGGGTTTTGCGGGGGCTGCGAAACGTAGCCCAGACCCGGTATGAACATGTACGGCTGAGGCGGCAGCCGGATGTAGTATATGGGCGAATTGTAGGTTTCCGGTCTGGGCTTCGGGCGTCTTCGGTTCGGGACGGTTCGGCTTAGATCGTTGTCCTCGAGCCCGAGCGGAAGGTAATCCTCGCTCTCGTATTGGTTGTAGTCCGCCACGTCTGGCTGTATGTAGTCGAAGTAGGCCAGGTTTTTGCCTTTGCGATCGGAGGTGGCTGGCGCTGATGCTGCGAAGTGCACGACGACTGTAAGGATCAAGATTGTTTGGAGGAGTTTGATCTTCATCTGAAATAAATTTAAAAATAAATTAGTTAATATCCTAATAACCACGATACACAAAAACCGGTATGCTGGTTATGAAACAAAAACTCGTCGACTCCGCGGATGTGACGTCACTTGCGAACCAGATTCAAATGTTACAAACAGTTTTGCATAGGCATGTTTTACTACGATTTCTTTTGAGTTTTTTCCGAAATTATTGTGTTTTTTTAAGTAAAAGCTACGCACGATGGTTTTGTAACGTTTTTCGTAATGTTTTTACTGCATTTACAAGGTATTTATAACCCACGCACGGGTGTTTTATACCAGGTTATTTATTAAGTTTGTGTAATATTTGTTGGACTTAACCTTTAAATAGCATGACAGTGTCCATTTGGACCCCAACAAATTTATTACTTTTGTTCTGCTACTTAATTATAGATGCCATTAATTGACATTTGGTGCATTCCTTATTTAAGTAATAGTAAACTGATATCATACATCAAGCACTGTTTTCACCTTACAGTTTCTCCAAAAAATTAATTTTGGGTCCAATTTGACCCTGCCAATTTGACCCTTTGAACACAACAACATTTCTTACCCAGAGAACTACGTCATGAGCAGAATTATGCCACCTGAAAATACAAGCTTTACCGGATGCTGCAGTAGCACCAGTACAAAGAAATAGGTCACAGAGAAAGAGGTGCTATATGTGTCCTTACTCACAAAAAAAAGAAGGCACCATTTGCACTTTTTGCAAAAATTTTATCTGTAAACATCATAAAAATCTGCAAAATATGTGCAGAAAAATAGGTGGACAAACATGCTCTCCATTTTTTTTTGTGAATACAAATTTTTATTTTTATGTTACAGAGATTAACTTTAGTTAATAATTGTTACGAAAATTTATAATTAGGCGAGCCAGAAGACCTATTTCTTATTTAAACTTCTTTTTGAAACTATGCGGTTTCTTTCTTATGTTTTTGTTTATATTCAATAAAAGTCGTAGTTTTTTTCTGTGTTTTTTTTGACAAACCTATATTAAAAGATAAGTATAAATAGATTAAAATGTTAAAACTCAAACATATCCAAATCAAAAAAAAAATAGGGGTCCATTTTGACCCTGCAATGGTATGAGTGTAACAATTTTGAGCCATGGTACTTAAGGGTTAATAATTATTTAAAATATGCTGGGCTGTGCTGTAGCAGACAGCAGAAATATGAACAGAAACTCAAACACCCAACCTACATAATTAGGTAATATTTAATGTTAGGTTAAAAAGCAGTTTTGAGATTTTTTTTTTTACTTTTGACACTTTAAAGCGGACGTGCATTATTATTACCTGTATAAAGGCATTTTTACAATTTTGTTACCTTTCACATTAAAAAAAAAATAAAATTCGGTTTAGCGTAAGTTAATTCAATCGAATAAAAAATATTTTAAAAAATATTAATAGCATGGTAGGAAATTAATTGTTGCTTAAATTATGTTACATTAGCATTAAAAGCGCTTGCTGCCAATTTAACTTTCTCTTAACATTTGTTACACTTTATAATTGCACCCAGACCGTCTCTTTATTTATAAATTTTTGAATATAAGAGGAATTTGCAGTGCAAATAACATTCCAACCCAGTTACCCGCCAGCTTTTGGTTCGAATATGACGTCACACGGTTCGAGAGAGATACACTGCGCGTCAAAAATAACGCATACTAAGTAAAAAAAATTCTAACTCTAAAACGCCTTTACCAATCTTTATGAAATGTTGTATAAAAATACTTTAACTTCTATCTCAGTTTACGTGTTCGAGGGTTTTTCGAGAAAATATTTTTAAAGCCCTTTTATTTAATAATATAAAAACGTTTGAAATATAACTTTTAGTAAATAAATTTTGTATAAAAATACTTAAAACTTATATCTCAGTTTATGTGTTCGAGGGTTTTGTAAAAATACAGCCCTTTTATTTAAAAATAAAAAAACGTTCAAGAAATAACTTTTAGGGATTTTTTTAAGTAAATAAAAAATATGCTGTTAAAGACCGTATTTTTGTTAGTATACCCTGAAAATTTTGTACAAATCAAACGAACAGTATCGAAGATACAGCGCTTCAAAGTCGGTAAAAATGACCCCTTTTTGATTATTTTGTCCAACAGTGGTCATTTTTGATGACTTTGAAGCGCTGTATCTTCGTTACTGTTCGTTTGATTTGGAAAAAATTGTCAGGGTAGGTATACTCTGGGTTCCCACGCGTCCTGGAAAACCTGGAATTTGTAAATAAAATATTCAGTACTGGAATTAACCTGGAATTTTATAAAAAAATATGTTTTTCCTTGATTTTTTTAAGAAACCCGGAATTATAAACATAATAATTCTATTTGAACTTAGCGTTAAAGAAACGAACTGTAAAATATTAAAAAATTCTTACTCCAATTGCCGCAAGTGGTGTTTTTAAACAGCGCGCTGTTGACTAGCTTCTAGTACCGAGAGGTGACGCCACTAGCGGCGTGCCATAACAAAATTATTTTTAGTCATAGATTATAAACCCCGATTTCCGAAAAAAACAATATTTAATTGCAGTAAGATTGGAAGATTAATAGTTTGCAATATTGTTTTCGGTTTAATTAGTTTATTAAACTCTTTTAAATCGGCTAGTGATGTTGACAACAATTAAAACCATTAAGCATGGGATGTTTTTAACCACGGTCTTATACCTACATATAAGATCATGGTTTTTAACCCTTAACTACATACATCCTAATTTAGGAACTTTATAAAAGACCCCCGGTATTTATTATAAATATATAATATGTATATTATATACCTATTAGGTATATAAAGTAAGTACCCAGCAAACCAGGCTGTTCCATTTACATAGCCATGATATAACTAACAAAGAACATTGCCATATAAAATTGTTTACATAACATTTACATATTAGTTCTTTATTTTGTTATATAATTATGATAAAACAGTAATATATCATTTATATAAATATGTTCCCCTCTTGTTATATTTACATGTATCAGCCATATAACAATGTTATATATCTACAATGGAACAATGATACATAATTGATATATGGCAATGTTTTATAGTATCCATATAACCTTATTATATGGTATTTACATAGTTTTTCTTTATTTTGTTACATAATTATAATAAAACATTTTAATATAATAGTTATATAAAAATGATCCGTTCTTGTTATATTTACATCCCTACTATGTCATATAACAATGTTTTATACCTACATTGTAACAATGATATATAAATGTTATATATTAATGTGTTATAGTATTTATATAGCCTTTTTATCTTACTAACGAACTCGTTTAAACGAGAAGAAATTGTATACAAAATACCCAAGACAATGTGGAAAGTGTACCTTTGCCAGAATATACTGAGGCTAAATCCGAAGTATTATCGTCCCCTAACCAGCCAATAAATAAACAGCTCAATAAAAATATTTTTACAGAAAATTTGGGAGAATATTCAAGAGGTCATCGGGAAAATTCCCATACTTTTGTGGAAGATTTGCAAAATTTGTGTAATAGATACTTACCTAGTCAACTCTTTATTAATGATCTGTTAAAAGTTTTGAGAAAACATTATTGCAAAAAGAAGTAGAGGCTGAATTTGTAAGTATATATAAAGGGCGATTTTAAACCTGTTTGATAATGTTTATTTGTTTTTAAAACAGGGTGCTAAAAAAACAAGCGACAAATTATAATTTAATGATATTTGGTAGCCAAAATAAGAGTTTAATATGTATAAATTTTTAATTTTATACTGTTTTTTCAACTGGATATAATAATTTTGCTAAATAAGATGGATACACTTTTTTATTATAATTGTTGTGACAATTAATTTTATGCATTTGACTTAAATTAATAAAATCAAACAAATTATTATTTGTACCAAATATCATTTACAAAAGTACATAAAGAATAGTTGTTCTTTGTTTTGAAAACAAATCAATAAACAAAAATAATATTAAATAGTATTTTTTTTAAGTTTCAGTATATAAAAATGAAGGCGTCTCCGAAAAAGATTCTACAGTAAGAGTTTAAAAAAAGTCTTCTCTAATAATCTGGCAAAAGATTGCTCTTGGCTAGGCCTAAGAAACAACAAAAAAATACAAAATTTAAAATTTGTTGAAATATTGAAGGGTAAAAATGTAAGTTTTATGGCTTTTTTATTAAATATTTTTTTAAGCTGCTGTTTGCACTTCAACAGACAAAAATTTTGAAAACATAGTTACCGAATGGTTCCGCAGCCCAAACAAAGATTTGTGAGGGAAACAAAAAACCCATGAAAAGAAGGTATATTAATATTAAATTCATCCCAGCAAACCAAATCATGTCACAGTGATATAACATTTACATAAAAATTGTTCCTTACTATGCAACAGCTATGTCACCTATATGTAATGGCAATGCTCCTATGTCCGCCTCAAGACGCCTTCCTGGGTATGTAACTGTGATGTAACAGTGTTTTATCATAGTTATGTAACTGTAATGTTACAGCGCCATATCAGTTATGTAACAGTGATATAACATTTACATAAAAATTGTTCCTTACTATGCAACAGCTATGTCACCTATATGTAATGGCAATGCTCCTATGTCCGCCTCAAGACCCCTTCCTGGGTATGTATCTGTGATGTAACAGTGTTTTATCATAGATATGTAACTGTAATGTTACAGCGCCATATCATAGTTATGTAAACGTGATAAAACAATTATATTCTATTTACATAAATGTTGCATTTACTTATTTGTATATAATTTATGCAATATTTACATATTATTTATGAAATATTAATATAATTTCATGTAATATATTATCTTACTGGTATTAAAAATTGCTTAGCCCTTACTTGGTATTATGGCAAATTTTTTGAAAAAAAATCAACAAAATTTTAAAATTGCCATAATACCAAATTAGAACTAAGAAATTGTTAATGCCAGTTAGATAATATATTAAATAAATTATAAATAAATATTACATAAATAATAAGTAAACATT